GGGGGGGGGGGGGGGGGGGGTGTGATGATGGGGAGAAGGATCTCCTGATCTGATTCGATTGAAAGTAAGCCCCACTCACGATGAGCCTTACAACATTTCACTTGACCTGTTGGGAAGTATTTTTGGCCACACGTATTAACCAATTAGCCTACCTTTTTATGGATTGGAAACCACGTTCCTCTTTGTCAACGTAAGCTTGATCAATGATTCGAGCTTTTTATATCTTAATTCTTTTGTTCTAGAGATTATTACAATGAGAGCTCTGAATGGACTGCAATGCCATTTCCGCACAATTGATATTAAACATGAATTTGTTGAGAACGCATATGTCTTTCCTGCTTCCATTACTCGGCCTAGACGAAGATTAGGGATTTTTGTTGGTGAACTGTGAAATCTCGCTTTCTCGTCGTGTTCAAGCAGCCCTCGCTGTAGTGGTCAGTTGTGAAAATTATTGATGCTGTTGAACTGGTTTATCTCAATGATGGATAGATCAAACAGAATCAATCCACTCCTGCAAATTTATGTGCCTGAAAGTACGATTATTCAAGGAAGCAAGGTTGAATGAACGAAATGGAGAGTTAAGGCCTCCAGTCGTGCCTCAGCTCGTGAAGTGTAATTGTTGCTTTGATGTGTAGCAGTACTAGCCATTTCCCTCCAAAACTATTGCTGTGAACTGCTAGACATATGATGTTGGCAAGAAGGTGCTTTAGCGATTGATTGGAACTTCAAAATTTGCAAAAACTTTGGAAACACGACAGCAAGATGTTCAGCATTGAACTTTTCTCAAGTAATCAGCCCATTAGTAAAAAATAGTGAAAAAAGGCCCAAACATAAGCTTTCGCAACATTATCATCAATGACTGGACAATAGTAGACTCATACCATTCTTCTACAAGACACGGTGGAGGAGAAACGTGAGTGTAACTGCTAAAACTACTAGCGATCTATTCGTTGGAACGATTAACGGTGAGTAGTTGGTTAGTAGTCGAATCGCTCTACTGCAGGATGTGCTAGCCTTCAAAGCAGCGCAACCGCCTCGCAGTTTTGTAGGGCATGAAGGGGTTCCTCTACTATGGTTTTTTAAACGTAGACTAGATGGTCACCGCTGTCACTTACCCGTGAAAAGCTTAAGCGGTCAGGAAACCGTCCCAACTCAACATTCGATTACTGACAGAACGGCGGTTTGCCGACATTGCCTCACGAAAGGATGGGGGATACCCAATGGTCTCTCTGATAAACATATCTGACATTCGATTAATTCGAAACACTCCAGAATTGAGCTCCTGACGAATAACGTTCTTGCCAGCCTTATATTTCTTGAGGTTCTTTTAACACCTAATGTTTAACATGTATCAGTTTCTTTTTGAGTGTAAGCAACACCGTGTTTGTTGGTAAGCAACCGTGTTTGTGATATCACCTCTGAAGCTCTGCTTAACTGCAACAGTTTCACACAGCGAAACAAATAAAACTAGCCAGTGTAACGTAAAATGCTCAATTAATGTAAGAATAATTTAAAGTTAGATGTAACATAAAATCGGCTATCGCTTTCTCGAAAACGTGATAGAAACAGAAGCATCAATCAGTTCGTCAATATCTTGTGTTATCTCTTCGAACTCGTCTCCAATGCTTTACATGAAATGTAAGCGAGCACAGGTAACCGTCAGCCAGAACGTTTTATTAATGTATAGATATACGATTGTGACAATGATACAACAGTCAAATGCTTCGCTTCGTTTTCGAAGACTTGAGATTTACCACCCAATAAGGAGTTTTCTCTTCGGCCGTCTCTTTCTAAAAAAAAAGACTACCTTTTTCGACTGCCTTTGGATTTTTCTCATGTTTTAATACAGTCTAGGCATGGGTGTTGCCTCGTCTCATACCGTGTCGAGTCTTCCGACCATATCGAACACGAAAAACATACTATTTCCCGTTTCGGCAAGGTCTCCAATTACGGTTTTTGCGTCACTTCTGTAAAAAAGCTGTACTGCAGCATAACTCGCAATCTCAAAAGGACGGCTTAGGAGAGCAAACTATGATCTAAGAAGACTCGCGCAGACTCTATCGACCACCTACGAGGCCCACGCAAACCGACACACCGACCACACAGAAGAACTAACAATCTATGTACCAGGCGATATACTCCAACATAGTAAGCATTCTTTGAACTTTGAACCCTGACCTTCATGGGGGGTAAAAAAGGCCAGGAGCCTCCCGGTCGGCGCTTATTTTGTTGGTACATGATTTTAGGTGTTTCATTGAACTTTAACTCGACGCATAACCAAGTAAGGTTTTATCACCCCTTTTGTTACCTGTTGAATCAAATGTTAGTGGGCCACTGTGAACCACGGCACTTTTGAGAAGAGATCCTTAACGCGGAGCACGTCCGACAAAGGGTATTCGATACACCTGAGAAGAGAGGTACGACGCTTTGGCCAGCTGCCAGTAACTAGAGTCGTACGCCTTCTAGTACGCAAATTAATACCTACAACACGATGTAAAATTCACATTCACGCGAATCCAAGCCTAAGCGTCAAGAAAACGATAATTCCACTTCGGCGAGGAGGCACAACAAACTGAAGTCATTGGTCAAGGATGAAGAAGTGTCCACCATCTTCGAGTGTCGTGTGATGGGTTGTTGGCGTAAACTAAAGTGGTACCAGGATGGGTAGGAGGCTCAGTTGATCATGTACGAACACATTGGAAAAGGAATCTCAAAAAGTGCAAATTATGTGATTACAAAGCGGTGGCTCTGAGAAAGATGCATCGTCACCACATGAGTGAAAATACTAATAAACCGTTCATGGGAGCCATCTCGTGCGAGACTGAGGATGATTTGAAGGAGCTACAAAGTTTGCACATTCAATGCTTCCCTACTGGCGACGTAAACACGGTCCTCCCCTATCATTGGTTTTCCCATGCTGGGACATGCAATTTCGATGCAATGGCTCTAAAACGAGTTGCGAATGAAGAGGACTGCTCATCCTTACTCGCGAGGACGGGAGCAAGTCGTTTTGAAAGCAGCATTACAGGTTCGTCAGGAAATAGCCAGAATGCAGCTGATGAAACCTTGTTCCAAGATTGCGAAGATAGATGATTTTGATGAAGCCAGAAGTCACACAATCTAGCAAATGGTGGATCCATCTGGTTAAGTATCGAAAGCTGTCGAGGTCCATCCCGTTCCTGCCAGGTGTATGTTGGAAGGCAAAAACCATACAACACCTTGTGCGACTCGAAATACTACTCATGCTCAAGGAGATCACAGAACGGCATTCGTTAACAGGGAAAAAGGAGCTCAGACGAGCTCATTTTCTATCAACTCCCACGCCATGGAGATAGAAGACTCTGAGATTATGATGAAATTTTGGTCGCAAATCTTCCACTTTCGCATCAAATTCGGCGAGAAACGGAATCAATCAGTGAGGATGTGGAGACTTCTCAAATACTGCAATGATATGCCATGGATTCGACGATGATCCGACAGACCGACTATTTGTATTCAAACAGTTCTCGACCTACGCACGGTTCAAGGAAGAAAGCATTCGGGGAAACCGATTTGGTTAAGGATTTTCCTATCAAGAAGCAGTAGTAGCTACATGTAGTAGTCGCGATGATGGCTTTGTCCAGGGAAGCAGGGTCACTTAGCATAATTGCAGATGCACCTCCTTCGAATGCACAGGACCTAAATAATCAAATGGCTGCAGCTATCAGCTCATCGTGTCTGCCGCCAAAGAATGCTCACTGTGCCACAGGACCTGATCGATTGTTAGTCGTTCTGTGTGGCCGATGTGTCGGTTTGCGCGGGCTTCCTAAGTGGTTGATAGGGCCTGCACAGGTTTCCTTAGGTCATGGTTTGCTCTCCTAACAATAAGCCACCCTTTCTAGATTGCAATTTATGTTGCAATAGGCGGCAAACGTCATCGAGAGGGCTCATTAGGAAAACTGATGAGAAGCAGCTTACGTGAAATCTAGCTCAATCGGCGATCGAAACTTTCGTTTTGTATGGTACATCCGCCCAATGGCTTCTGTTTTGCTGAAACGTACTCACTCCTTGATATTGTGGTTTAAATTGTCTTTCCTTAGAGGGGTACTACTAGAAATAGATCTCCAAGATGAGAAACTCGACAGTTCAATGCGGATGAAGCTTACTATTCGAATCTTAGTAAAGAAGGGCACCAAAGAGAATTAGCTCTGTGAAACAATGCTGGGTCTAGTTGGTTTGTACAATGAGACATATTGGAGGTTCTCCCAAGTACTCATATGCAAGTAATGTAGAAATAATATTATAGGTAATCGTAATTGCAATAGAAATAGTGGTGTAATCTACTTTATGCTTGCAATCAGAACTAATGTCACTGTACTGAACTTAGTTCGATTCTTTCCGGAATGGAAAACAATCTCGACGTCGATACGTTCATTCGCATTTGCACAAGTCGACGAGGAATGGGAGGTATTCGAACATGGCGTTCTTTTTCGAAATCAGGCTAGTTTTTTGTCATAATTCTGAATGTGAAAGGCATCATGCTCTTGAATTTAATGATCAATGACCAGTGTCGTGACGAGGTGCCCTCTACCATCTGCATCGGCGTTCCTACACCCTAGTCACGGCAGAACGTGGGTATTTGGGTGCACACACACCCCTAAGGGGACGTGCCGTGCCGAGGAATGCTAAGGGTCCTGCTGCGGGCTGAAGAAGGGCCTAGTCCCCTGTTGACGAACTGAGCTCCAAACCACAAGTGTGTCAAATACTCTCGGAGGTTAATCCCGTATAAATACATAAAAATAATAATACGCTACATTTATATCATATATGGGCACAACATAAGGAACTTCAAATAATGTGGAAATGGCAAGTGAAATATCATTATGCAATTGCATTATACTAAAAAACATACTTGAATAAAACAATTGGGCAATTACTGACCTGGATACGAGACGAGAGGTGATGAGAAGAGCAGATGAGTTGAGAGACGATGATCGACGGTTACGGGGAAGGCCCACGGGACGGAATAAAAGGAACGCGACGATCCACCAGCCTCGCACGACGAATACATACTGACGACTGAATTGGGTAGCTACGCAGCGAAATGATACGCTTATAGGTAGTTCCCCGCGTCTCTGGCAATTTCTGCCCTTCGCTTTAGGACCGACTGCGAGTGGATGTAGAGCGCGGTTTCCTCCCGACGCATGCTGTAAACCGTGGTGGTCGTGCGAGAGGCACGACACTCCGGGGGCCGAAATGCACCCACCCTGTGAAGACAAAAGAATGGCAAAAGAAAGGGGGACCCAGAACCTGCCGATCATCGTGAGAGTACAAAATATACGAAAATATGTGACCAATCAAGTGTAAGTAAAGCTTCAGTATGCATCGACTAAACAAATATTGAGGCCGTAAGGGCACATCAGAAAAGCACCGTAATGATAAGGCAAGGAATTGAGTACAATTGAGAACAAATTATACAAATGCTTAACTAAAGAGAATATAAGAGCAACAAAAAAGATGTTGTGATTCCAACTAACTGCACGTTGATGTTGGCGTCGACCACGTTGTTGACTTGAACCATGATGTCGATTGTCCACTTGCAACGTTGACCATCACGAACGTCCAGTAGTTGAAACAGCTGGTGGCGTCTTCATACGGTTGTTCAACGGCAACGATGGTAGTTCTCATAAAGAACATACATGGCTCCGAAGAATTTCGACACGTCTGGACCAATGTCACGAATAAGGAAGTAGCTGCTGAGAGGGCATAGGGCCGGATGATGCTCAGTAGAATCACAGACGCGGCAGGCAATATTGCGCTTACAGTAGCCTGGCGAATGGGCCTTCTGGCAATACAGACATTTGCCAACAGATACAGCTCTTATAGCGCGATCCGTGAGACTCTTGACCTCAGTGCAGGCTGCGCTGTAGTGGTTTCCCTGACAGAAGTGACAGACGAGGTCGGGTGGCTGCGGCTCTCTCGGCTGCGAAGCAAGTGAGGCGGTCGTCTTCTTCTGATGAGGTGGAGTATTCGAACGACGAGTTGTAGTGACGAATGTAGACGAATGAATATGAATATGGATGTAAGTGAATTGTAAGGTGGAAAGCGAGTACTTGGGCGAACAAGAAGTTGAGAGGCAAATCATTAGAGCAACATGACAGGGACTGCAGACAGGAGCAAAAGGAGCAAGCAAATTTAGGAGAGTAACTGACACAAGCAAGAAGTAAATCATGGACGTCACAGCCCAGCGCGTGCAGATACGCAACTTAGGTCAACACGAAGACTTACATGGATTACAATGCTCTTAGTGCCACTGTACTTGCTTCCGCACCTCAGTGGGCTGACCAGGAGCTCACCGACGCTGCGACCGGTTCCCACATTATTGGTCAGTTGCTCTCACCAGTCGACACCCATGTTACCTAAAGTGCGATACCTGCAAGGCGCATTAAAAGCCTACACCACGACCCACGACGCGCGCGATTTACCCAGCCAATGCAACCTACGCTGTGTGGATTATACCGAAAGGACCCCTGCCACTGGTCCCGACGGTAACACTGGTTCTAGGTGCGTGAGCGGAATGCGCAGCCCTAGCTGCGACGTACGTGACGCTGCTTGCCTGTGTGAGATACTGACCAAAACTTTCATGCGAACTCAGCAGATTTGTGGAAGACGAGCAATAGTGTCCTTACGACGTGGAGCTGACGATGCTGACGGCCGAAGATACGTGGCACGGCGAACGGGTTCGACACGTCAGTCAAAGTCGCCCTTCGACGACAATGACCGCGGTCGATGCACCATTTCTGTCATGACGAGGTGCCCTCTACCATCTGCATCGGCGTTCCTACACCCCAGTCACGGCAGAACGTGGGTATTTGGGTGCCCACACACCCCCAAGGGGACGTGCCGTGCCGAGGAATGCTAAGGGTCCTGCTGCGGGCTGAAGAAGGGCCTAGTCCCCTGTTGACGAACTGAGCTCCAAACC